CTCCTGATCAAGTAACTCCCCGAACAGGAGAGCCGATCTTGATGTGATATTAATACATTCCGCCCCAGGACGACTTTCTTGCGAGGCCTAGATCAGACTATCTGAGTGTAATTTTATGGCAAACCTTACTAACCCTTGTCATACCGTCATAACCCTTGTCCACCACTTTGATTAAGCATTTGAGATAGGAAATGAAAAATTCACCATTGCTTATTGTTCTGGATGTATGGCTTAATACGATTCCAGTAGCGGTTTGGTCCGTCAGCACCTAGAATTTTTGAGGATTAACGGCATTTGGATTTGTATAGTTCTGTGCTCCGCTAACCTTTGAACGCGCTTCCTCCCCACACGGACGAGAATGAGCGAGCAAGCTCTTCCCACATGCTAGTAGGAAGATCCTGGAATATATATAATTACTATGGAATAGCCTTTTTTTTTGTCAAAAAAGGCAAAATAACATGTGCCAGGGCTAGGAGGACAAGCCACAGGAAAGGTACCTAGAATGACCTTATCCAATTCAGCTGTGTATTTCCATACAACAGGTGTTACCAGTCGATCGAGCCCATACTCCTTGATTAATGTGTGATTTGCGTTTTTGAATTCGTCATACCACATGAGTACCTAAACCTTACTTCTGTGGCTTTTATCGTATAACATCTCCTTCATAGAAAATTAGAAATTTCAAGGCGTACCTGCGTTTTCGGGTATTTTTGAGTGATATTCTCAGCAACTGTCTTAACGTAATCGAATACAAGTCGTTTTTTGTCGTTGCCATATTTGATCGGTAGAATTTTGCGATCAGCTTCGCACTGTCCCATCTAAAAGAAGTTCTTTCTTAGCAATCTTCTTTAAAAAGGTTAGATGTGAGGAGATTACTATGTAGACTTCATCGGCGCCAATGTGGATGTATGGTACTCGTATCTTTGAATGTAAAGCCATTACCTAAAAATGTTTAAAAAATTGGTATTGCCAGGAGCAAAAAAATAAGAGGGAGTTTTTGCAAAATTTACTTATTTCAAGCTAAAATTCAACCTGTAAACCAGAAATTTTTTCCATGAGAAAGATATGAGCATTTGTGAATTTGGAAAGAAAATATTGGCGTTTAAAAAATTGTGTATCATGTATAGCTTATGCCTTAATTCTTCACTATACTCTTTTTTTTTCTAGCACTGTACAGTCTTGGAAAATAAATTTTGGTAAGTCGCGCACGATCCCACTGACGTCTATCTTCATATATCTAAAAAATATGGATTGCGAATTTTAGCATGGGAGATATGCGACAAAAAATCTGGCTTATAGCATCAAAACTGAGCCTAATTCACTACATAAGCAATTTGTTTTACGCTAGTTATGGTAGACTTGCATTTGCGCTCAAACGCTAGATTACAGTATAATTATGTACTGAGTACATGGTAAAAATTTCATTCATACCTGATTCACTGAATCTAAAATCAGCTCGATGACTTTGTCGTCGCCTATACATGCGACCTGAAAAAA